AGTTATTATCCAGAATGCTCATTTCCAACCATCTTTGTCATAGTGCTCCACTTCTCTATTCCAACTGTCTTCTCCCCCAGTAGTTGAAACTTCCAAACATGGACCAATCTTGAACCTTGTTTCTACTGTCCTTGGGTATTAGTCATTATGTACTTTTACATCTTACATGAATGCTGTCATTCTATGTCTGTCCTTTTTCTTCTGACTCATTTCACTAAGCATGATATTTTCCATGTCCACCCATTTATAAGCTAATTTCATGACTTGATTTTCTTAACAACTGTATACTATTCCATTGTGTAGATGTACCATAGTTTCTTTTTTGAAAAAAAAATGTTTTTTTTTTTAAATTGGATCACAGTGAGATACACAGTTACAAGTTGTTATAATTGGGCTTCAGTCATATAATGTTTCAAGACCTGTCCCTTTACCAGTGTATATTTTGCACCACCAATGTCCCCAGTTCACCTCCCACGTTGACCCCCTGACTGCCTCTATGGAACACACTTTTCTCTCTCTCCCCTCCCCAACTTCTTTTTGGACATTATGGTTTACAATACAGACACTGAAGGGTTATCAGGTAATATCCCTTTACCTACTTTCAACACTCAATTTCTTCCAAAATGATCATTTCAGCTATTATTGTCATACTGTCCCTTTCCTATCCTAACTGGCCTTTGTCCCCAAGACACTCTTGTGCAAGCTTCAAACCATTGATCAGTCCTGCTCTCTGTTTTCTATGGCCTTGGATATTAGTCTCATATTGCAGCCATTAGGAAAAATGAAGTCATGAAATTTTCTTATAAATTGATAGACATGAAGAGTATCATGCTGAGTGAAATAAGTCAGAAAGTGAGAGACAAAATCACTGCATTCCTTTGTAGGATATAATTAATAATGAATAGCATGTGACAAGTACCATAGTTTCTTTAACCAGTCATCTTTTCTTGGACACTCCTGTTTCCAGATTATGGCTATTGTGAACAGTGCTGAAATAAACATAGAAGTATAAATGGCATTTATGTTCATGTTTTGGAGTCCCCAGGGCATATTCCCAGAAGTGGTATTGCTGGGTCATATGGAGGCTCAATATATAGTTTTTGATGAATTCCCATATTGTTTTGCAAAAAGACCAGACTACTCCCACCAACAGTGAAGGAGAGTCTCTTTTTCCGTGTCAGCACTAGAGTCTCTTGTTCTTTTTGCTGTGTACCCATCTCTAGGATGTGAGATGATATCTCGTTGTTGTTTGTTTTTGTTTGCATCTCCCTGATGATTAGCAAGCAGGAGCATTTCTTCATGTGTCTTTTGGCCATTTGTATTTCTTCTTTGAGAAAGTTTCTGTTCATTGTTTTCTCCCCATCTTTTCATGGGATTGTTTTTTTTCTTGTAAAATTCTACCAGTGCCTTATATATTTCGGATAATAACCCCTTATCAGATGGTTATTGGGTAAATAATTTTTCTCAATCTGTGGGCTGTCTCTGTGTCTTCGCCACTGTTTCTTTTGTGGTGCAAAAGCTTCTTGTTTTAATATAATCTCATTTGTTTATCTTTGCTTCCACTTGCTTGGTCAGTGATGTTTCATCTTTGAAGATACCTTTAGCTTCAATGTCATAGAGAGTTCTCCCCATATTTTCCTCCATGTATCTTATGGATTCACGTCTGATATTTAGGTCTTCGATGAATTTTGATCTGACTTTTGTGGCTGGTGTTAGAAAGAGGTCTGAGTTCATTTTTTTGCATGCAGTTGCCCAGTTTTCCCAGCACCAGTTTCTAAAGAGATGGTCCTTGCCTCACTCAGTATTTCTTACTCCTTTATCAAATATTAGGTAATCATATATTTGAGAGTTGGTGACAAGATATTCATCTTTGTTCCATTGATCTGTGGGTCTGTCTTTATTTCAATACCATGCTGTTTTGATTACTACCTCATTGTAGTACAGTTTGAAGTTAAGGAAGATGTTGCCTCAGGAGTGATAAGCACAGCGGGTAGCACATGCAACCAACCCAGGTTCAATTCCCAGCATCCCATATGGTCCCCCAAGCACCGCCAGGAGTAATTCCTGAGTGCAAAGCGAGGAGTAAGCCCTGAGCATCATTGGGTGTGACCCCAAAAGAAAAAAAATATCATGGCTTGGATATACTTATAGGGACTGCATTGCATCTTTATCAATGTGTTGGAGTATATCGCCATTTTGACAATGTTAACTCTTCTAATCCATAAGCAAGAAATGTGTTTCCATTTTATCATGTCCTCTTTTACTTCTTGAATTAATGTTTTTCAGTTTTTGTTTTATAGGTTCTTCACCTCTGTAGTTAAACTGATTCTGAGATACCTGTTTTTCTGAGGCACGATTTTGAATGGGATTGTTTTTCTAATCTCTCTCTTTTCTTTCTTTTTTTTTTGTAAACAGAAAAGCTGTGGACTTTAGGTAGTGATTTTGTAACCTACCACTTTACCATAAAAATCTATTGTTACTGAGAGTTTTTCCTAGATTCTTTGTGGTTTTCTAAGTATATCATGTTATCTACAAATAATGAAAGCTTGAGTTCTTTCTTTCCTATCTGGATTCCCTTGATAACTTTTTCTTGCCTAACTGTTGTGCAAGTACTTCCAGTGCCATATTGAATAGGAGTGGCAAGAATGAGTAACCTTCTCCTGTGCTGGATTTTAGGGGGAAAGACTTTATTTTTTCCCCCATTGAGGATATTGCTTACTATGAGCATGTGGTAGATGGTTTTGACAATATTTTGTTGAGAGTTTTTATCAAGAATGCTTGTTGAATCTTGTCATATATTTTCTCTGCACATAAATTGCTATGATTGCATCATTTTAAATCTTTTCTTTTATTGATCTGATGCATTATGTTGATTGATTTGAGAATGTTAAACCATCCTTGCATCTCCTGAATGATACCTACTTGGTCATGGTGTATGATTTTTTTGAATTGTTGGATTCTATTTACAACCATTTTGTTGAGGTTTTTTGCATCTGTGTTCATTAGGTAGGTCAGCCTGAAATATTCTTTTTTTGTGGTATCTCTATCAGCTCTGAAGGTGGTATTTGCTTCATGGAAACTTGGGTCTTTCTGCTTCTTCAGTGTCCTCGGACATCTTGAAAATGATTGGCAGTGTGTCCTCTTTAAAGGTTTGAAAGAGTTCACTAGTAAATCTTTCAGGGCCTGAGTTTTGTTTTGTGGAAGACTTTCAATTACAATTTCAATTTTGTTGATGATTATAGGTCTGCTCAAGTATTCCAAATCTTCTTGGTCAGCTTTGGAAAGTTATTGTAACCCAGGAATTTTTTCATTTATTCATTTCTTCTAGGTTTTCCTCATACATCCTTATGAACTCTATTTTAAATCCCTTGTCAAAGAGTTTCTAGTTCATTATTACTTGTTGTACCATCTAGGCTAGCATCTTCTCTCACTAAGTCTGGTGGTTTCTGCATTGTTTTACCGTTGTTACCTTCACAGTTTGGATATTTGCACTCACCATTGCTTTTGTGTTTTAGGGAGAATGTTGATTTGAGTAGGGGTTAACGGACTATTGGCCTATTGTGGTTGGGGTGGTGAGGCTGCCCTAGTGAGTACCGAATAGGAGGATATTTTATGATTCTAATGGGGTATGATGGTGTGTATGTGGGGGGTGAGGGGAGGTATTAATTGGTGGCTGCTTCAGCATCCACAGCTCAAGAGAGAACACCCTCTGACTTTCTATCCTGAAATGTCCGAATATTATAGTCTTGCAGATTGCATTAGTAGTTTGGAGACACTGCCATCTTGGGGCCGACACTGTCTTGAAAATCTCAGTGCTCCATCTTTCGGGTCTGCACAGTCCTTGTCCCACTCCTCTATTATTATTTTAATCACTAAGAAATTCCAGAGTACTAGAGAGATATTAAAGGGATTAAGTAACTTGCCTTGCACATAGTCTAATCTTACCCAATTCCTGTACCCCATAAGGTCCACCAAGCAGTGTTAGGAGTGATACCTGAGCACAGAACTTGAATTAAGCTCTGGACACCACCAGATGTGGCCCAAAAGCAAATAAACAAATACAAAAAGAGACATTCTCATATTTGTCAACCATTGAATGTGTAGAAAAGAGAGAAAATTAGCAAAAGAAAATGAAGATCAATATTGTTAAATTAATTTTCAGTATCTGGGAGATATACTATTTTATTTGTCTGTTATTACTAGTCAAAACTATAGTAATATTCATTACTATTGAATTTGTCTTCTCCACTGATTCTATGTTTGCATAAGTAAATGGAATTTTAAGAAATAAAACAAAGCCACAAAAATGGAAATGGTAATATCATGCAATAAATATAATTTATTGAGTTTATCTGTCATTTTAAACAGGTTATTTTCTAAATAATCATCTGTCTCAATATTTTTTATTTTATTTATTTCTCTTTTGGCCTTTTGGGTCACACCCAGTGATGCTCAGGGGTTACTCTTGGCTCTGCACTCAGAAATTACTCCTGACAGTGCTCAGGAGATGATATGCAATGCTGGGGAATCAAACCTGGGTTGACCGCTTGCAAGGCAAGTGACATACCCCTTGTACTATCTCTCTGGCACTCAATATCATTTTAATTGTATCCACCAATAAGTGATTAGGAGAAAAATTATAATTTAGTCATAGTTTTGGTACTTATTTTCTTAAACTGGTTGTTTTGTGAAAGTAACTATTTTCAAAACCATTTGCAATTCAGGTAACTCCCTGCTCACTCTTGCAAATGTTTATGTATTCTTTACCTGGAATAATTTTGGAAAGTGCTGGAAAGCAAATGAATCTCAACTTGGATGCTGATAGAGATTTTCACTTTTCTTTCAGACACTTCCTGAAGTTATATGGAAATGAGAGAAAACCATGAGAACCCTCCTTCAGGAAGGAATATACTTCAGCAGCAGAGATGTGCTTCTCTTTGTTTCAGGCCACCCACATTGTGGTAGAGCCACAGCCGCCTTTACTTCTGTTTTCAGTGATTCACAGAACATCTGAACAGTGATGCTTGCCTTGGATTTACAGATTTTCATCCTGATCCCTTGTTTACTTTGGGGTCGAAAAGCTTGCACTCATTGCCCTCCATGGTGGCTAATCTTTTCAAGAGCTTGATTTTACCTTACATACATAAACTTTGCAAAGGAATGTTTACAAAGAAATTGGGCCATACAACCAAAAAAAAAGAGTGGCAGCAACAGAAAAAGGAACAGGACTTCCTTCTGGAGGCTAAAACCAAACCCCCCAAATTTTCTAATACCCTGAAAAGCACTGTAAAGAAAATTGCAAAGTGTTCATCTACTTACAACTTCTCTACTAAAGAAGTGGAAGCTAATAAAGAATTTTCTCTCTCACCGACATTCAGTTATCGAGTAGCTATTGCCAATGGCCTGAAGAAGAACATTAATGTAACCAACAGTGATCATGAGGACCTGCTCCAAGAGTTATCTTCAATTGAGAGTTCCTATTCAGAATCACTAAGTGAACTAAGGACTAGTACTGAAAAGCAGGCACTACCCCCGCCCACCATGCCGGTCAGACGCAACAGAAAGAGTTCCAGCAGCCTGGCTCCTTCAGAGGGCAGCTCTGATGGGGAGCGCACGCTCCACAGCTTAAAACTAGGAGCACTGCGCAAGCTGAGGAAATGGAAGAAGAGTCAAGAGTGTGTCTCCTCGGATTCAGAGTTGAGCACAATGAAGAAAACTTGGGGAATCCGAAGCAAATCTTTGGACAGAACTTCCCGCCACTCAAAGACAAATGCCCTGGAGCCAGGATTCAGTTCCTCTGGCTGCATTAGCCAAACGCATGATGTCATGGAAATGATCTTTAAGGAACTTCAGGGAATAAGTCAGATAGAAGTAGAACTTTCTGAACTGCGAGGGCATGTGAATGCTCTCAAGCATTCCATTGATGAGATATCTAGCAGCGTGGAGGTTGTGCAGAGTGAGATTGAACAGCTTCGAACAGGTTTCATCCAGTCTAGAAGAGAGACTAGAGACATCCATGATTATATTAAACGCTTAGGTCAAATGGGCAGCAAGACCAGCTTAAGATTTTTAAACGTGCCGGAGGAAAGATTTGAGCATGTTGAAAGTGTGGTGTACCAAATTCTAGTAGACAAGCTGGGCTTTTCAGACACTTTAAATGCTATTAAAATTGAATTTGCTCAGAGGATAGGGCATCAGCGGGACTGTCCCAATGCAAAACCTCGGCCCATTCTTGTGTACTTTGAAACTCCTCAACAACGGGATTCTGTTTTAAAGAAATCCTATAAACTTAAAGGAACAGGCATTGGAATCTCCACAGATATTCTTGCTCATGATATCAGAGAAAGAAAAGAGAGATCAATACCATCCTCCCAGACATATGAAAGCATGGATATAAAACTGTCCACTCCAGAACCCAAAATCAAGACTAATTGGTTGCAACAAAATGATAGTGATGGAGAGCTGGAATCTGATCTCAACAAAAACAGCTATGCCACGCTTTCCAAGTCTGAGTTTCCAATGAAGGGAAGTTCTTCCAAGTCAAGTTCAAAATCACACAGTGCTAGATCCAAGAATAAAAGTACTAACAGCAGCAGAACTTCAAATAAATCAAACTATTACAAAAAGGGTTCACAGTCACCAGACTCAACTAGAGTGGACCAGCAAACTGGAGCTCATTACACAGATGGAACACTGTTCTGCCATTCTCAGAGTGATTTTTTCACTGCTAATCTTAGTCGTTCTGAGTCTGATTTTTCAAAATTGTGCCAATATTACTCAGAGGACTTTTCAGAAAATCAGTTTTTCACTAGAACTAATCGAATCTCCCTCCTGTCATGTTCAGACTGGGAACTTTGGCAGCGGAAACAAGAGGGCATTTTTGCCTTATTTAGTAGTCCTCAGAATCAGCCTTCACATGTAGCTGGGCAGGGTGTTCAAGGGCAGAGTGAAACTGTGAGCACAGAAACTGATGATCGTGGAGTGAGTAACAGTCTGGTGTGTGCCTCTGGAAGCCAGAGTCATAACAGCGATTCTCAGGTTTCTTTACACGACCTTTCTCCATGGAAGGAATGGGATAACAGAGAGCAAGTAGCTGAGTTAGGTTTGGATTCATCTGTTAAGGAAACTGTTGATTTTGAAACAAACAGCCTCTCTGATCAACAACTAGATGTTACCAATAGAGAGCTGGAGGACTCAGGGAAGTGCCACAGTGACCTTCAGGAAGACTCTGAAAGCTGTGATTTAACCCAAGATGACAATTCATCTCCATGTCCAGGGCTGGATAATGAACCACAGGTTGAATGGGTCAGTCAATATGATTATACCGAAGCTAAAGAACCATACCCAAATCAGAACCAGTTGACCATGATGTACCGGAGTCAAAGTGAAATGCAAAGTGATGACTCCGAGGAAGCTCCACCCAAATCTTGGCAGAGTCGATTAAGCATTGACCTTTCTGATAAAGCTTTCAGCTTTCCAAAATTTGGATCTACACTCCAAAGGGCTAAATCAGCCTTGGAAGTCGTGTGGAACAAAAGCACACAGAGTCTCAGTGGGTATGAAGACAGTAGTTCTTCTTTAATGGGGAGATTTAGGACATTATCCCAGTCAACTGCAAATGAATCAAGTACCACCCTTGACTCTGACATCTACACAGAGCCCTATTACTACAAAGCAGAGGATGAGAAAGACTACAGTGAGCAAATTGATAGTGAAACTGATTATGTTGAAGTGATGGAACAAGTCCTTGCTAAGCTAGAGAACAGGACCAGTATCACTGAAACGGATGAACAAGTGCAGGAATATGATCACCCTTCATATGAAACACCTTATGAAACCCCACAAGATGAGGGTTACGATGGGCAGGAAGATGATTTGGTGAGCGAAGGGGGATTGGAACCTTTAAATGAAATCTCGGATGAAATAGAAATAGAAGATGAAAACCAAAACATTCCTGAGCAACCAGTGGAAACCACAAAGCCAAAAAGACTTCACCCCTCTTTCAAAGAAGCAGCTTTACGTGCCTACAGAAAGCAAATGGCAGAGTTGGAGGAGAAGATCCTAGCTGGAGGTACCCATATTTAAATACTACATTATGAAGTAATTGTGTTTTAATATTTGGTAAAACTTCTTTAGGACAGCTCTTCTTTATACTCTTAATAGGTAGAACTTACCTGCTAGGAATTTGTTTACTCTGAGAAGCATTCTTAATTTACTCAATGAGTAAAATAAATAATATTTTTTATTAACAAGTTGGGTTTGATGACTTACAAAGTGAAAGTGCTTTCAAGTATGAAGATCATACATAAATGAACATTAAAGGGGGTGGAGAGATGGTTGAGTGGTCAAGGTGCTTACCTTGCATACAGCTGACCCCGGTTCAATCCCTGGAACCACATATAGTTCCGAGTCTTGCCAAGAGTGATCCCCAAGCAGAGAGCCAGGAGTAAGCCCTGAACTCAGACTGGTACCCACCCTCCCCCAAAAAATCCCCACAAATAAAACCATGTAAGCTCAGTGAAATAAAAGTTCCCTGCTAGGATTAGGTACAAGGTCTATTTTATATTAACCAATTATAAGGCATCAGTATCAAAAAGTGAGAAACACTAGAGTATTCTGGAATCCTGTCTAGGGTTAACAGTGAGACTGAGTGAGAAGTTAAAGTCAATTAGATTACTAATGTCTAAATGTTCAGCTTATTACTTCATTTTACCTCAGAAGTAAGCTATGAGCCAGTAGGAAGCAGGTCATGGTTCAGCGTAGCCAAATCGAGGCAGTCCTATGGGGTGGAGCGATATCAAAGCCTCCCTCACTGAAATGCAGCAGAGCTAAAACCCTAAGCCATGTCTGAGTTTTTTAAAGAACCTCTTTGCTGATCAGTTGGTAGGGAAAACAATCAAGAACTTTCTTCCAAAGGAGTGGAAGTCTTCTGTATAAAGTGCAGAATAACTTATTCAGCAATTACATGACATTTATGTGAACAACTTAAAGGTCATATTTTGTTTTGTTTTGTTTCGGGGGCCACCAACTAAGAAGCGATAGCACAGCGGGTAGGGTGTTCGCCTTACAAGTGGCCAACATGGCCGACCCAAGTTCGATTCCTCCACCCCTCTCGGAGAGCCCGGCAAGCTACCGAGAGTATTCGATATGCCAGACACAGTAACAACAAAGTCTCCAATGGAGACGTTACTGGGCCCGCTCGAGCAAATCGACGATCAACGGGAGGGCCTTTACCTTTACCTTTTACCTTGTTTCGGGGGCCACACTTGCAGTGCTCAAGGCGTATTCCTTGCTACCACTCAGGGATTATTCCTGGCAAATTTGGGGGGCCACATGGGCTACCAGGAATCAAACCCTGGTCAGTCACCTGCAAAGCAAGTGCCCTACCCATTGTACTATTGCTCTGGCCCCAAAAGATGACGTACTTTTGAAAAGTGGCTCCAACAAATAAAATAATTTGTTAATATTTTTTATTACTTAACCAAAATTTATTTGTGCTTATCCTAATCCCTTACTATTTAACACTTGTTATATTTGGGACAGTTTAATATAATATAAATCTCATTAAATTATATATTGTTAATATCTTTCTTGAGTATGGCATTGTAATATTCAATGAAAATATTTACTCTGTATATTTCATACTTATGTGATCAACTGCTACTGACATGAAACAATATAACAGCTTCCATTATTAGTAACTACTCATTTTTTGTCAAAATTGCCATCAGACAGCCCTCTAGTATGATTATTTTTTTACTTAAATGGGTAAAATATTGAATCTGATAACTATATCATTATCATTTTAGTTTCTAAACTAAAATTACAAGGTTCTTGTAAAACAGTAAACAAGATTCTTTGCTCTCAAAATAAGTCTATATAAAATAACTCACTTGATATATCTTAAGGAAAAATTCATGTCAAAGAGACTTTGGGAGGGGGGGGGCTCAAGAGATAGCACAGCCGGTAAGGCGTTTGCCTTGCATGCGGCAGACCCAGGTTCGATTCCCAGCATCCCATATTGTCCTCTGAGCACTGCCAGGAGTAACTCCTGAGTGCAGAGCCAGGAGTAACCCCTATGCATCGCCAGGTGTGACCCAAAAAGCAAAAAAATAAAATAAACAAACAAAAAAAGAGACCTTGGGTATGTTGGGTGTAATTTTTTGTTGTTTTTAATGGAATTTTTTAAAAATGCAAAGTAGTCAAAATTTTATGTAAATAAATATTAGAATAATGTCTTTTTTGTTTCAGAGTAACTTTTAATAATAAGATATCATCATTAAAACTTGATATTTACTTGTAATACAGGCCATCAGTTTGATACTGTATTTTATTTGCTGTGAATACAGGTATATTCAAAGACATACGAAGAGTAAGCAATATGTGTTTTTGATGGATGTGTTATGCAAGTTGGTTAAGGAAACAGAAATACTAGGCAATATTATTAATATGATGGGGTTGTAAATATCTGAGGGAAAAATGCATCTTCATCAATTTTTTGACGAGCCCAAGGTAGCAGACCTCTGCAAAGTAGGTCGATAAAGGAAATTACACTTCAAAGATTTAACAACTTTAGCCATCCAGGGTTACTTAACCTTAGAAAACAATGATGCACTTGATTGTCCACATAAGACTGACTCAAGAATTCTAAAATAGATGGAAGCAGTATCTGATGTGTGCCAGAGAGGTAGTACGAGGGTGATGGGGGCAAGGTGCTCTCCTTGCATGGTGTAAATAAACCCTGGATTGATCCAGGCACTATAAATCTTGGAGACTTTCCAGAATCTCCTAAGCACAAAACTAGGAGTAAAGAAACCAAAGTAAAGAAAAGAAAAGAAATCTGCTATATCAATCTTGTTTACAGAGATCTTAGACACCCTTATCATCTTCAAGTGTTGCTTGTTAGCCTGTGAGCCAACCTTGAGTGGACTCCCCAGGATCTAATCTTTCCTAGTGGAAATCAGACACACGTCTCTATGCTGCTTCTTTGAAAGGCACCACATTTTCCTCCCCAGGCGTTTGCTGTGGCCTAGATTTGAAAGGCCATCTTCTTTTCCCTTGGCAGCACTCACACAATTTTCTCTCTCTGGTGCTGTCAATATGCCTGTAGAGAAAGGGCAGCCAAGTGAGGGCATATTTAGGTCCCTTCCTGCACGGTGCATGTCAATGAAGTGCCAATCGCCCTGATGAATTTTGCGTTTGTGGGCCATCTGTTAACTGGGCTTCTGGGAGGTGCCAAGAGATCTTCTTCTCCACAGCTACCAGGGCTCCGTGAGACAGACATGGTTCCCTCCACTCTGGCGAGATTGGGCTGCAGATCGTTTGCTGTAAATTCTGGAGAAGATGATATATGGAATCATTTATTTTAACTTCTGTCTTCTGGTTAAAGAAGGACTTTAAAGACCCCGACGCTTCTATTCAGGGATATTAAGTTGATGATGTTTCTGAAAGTGTTAACCTTATCTCTCCCCATATGTGCAAGGAGGGGATTTTAGAGTGCTATATACAGAAACCTCTTGGAGATTATATTCTGTCCTTCTTGCTGCACCCTACTGGGTAGAACCTTTTGTGCAACTGGCCCTAACCCGCCCCGTGGATGTGACTATCCAATCCCCCCCACTGTCAACCCTTTACCATCTGTCCACTGGAATTTCCATATACCTGAATTCTCATATGTATTTTATGGCACCAGCATCATCTTATGTAATGTAAATTTGAGCCCATTTCTCCTTTTCTCTGCTAGACGGAAATCAAAACATCGTTTGCATTCTTCCGTTTGCACTGCACCTAATCAGAAACAATGGGTTCAATGTAATGCCTGAATTAAGGGAAATGGGATGCTACATTAAAAACACACTTCAAAGCCAAATCAAATTCAAAGTGTGGCATTAATCTGCCAGAACTGTAGCTTATGCCCTGAGCATTTGGAGATATGATTAGAAGTAAACATTAGCTATTAATCACCTTTTACATACCGGATTCTTTCCAGGCAGGTTATTTGCTTTATTCTCTGATTTCTTACCACCACGATGAATTTGATTACACAATTTCCTAATTTGATAGAAGAAGTGCTGAAAACTTAAGTAACATCCTCAAATCATAGTAAGGGTTGTCTCCAGTATTAAGTCATGGCTATTTCCATTATTTAGAGAAATTATTTCTTTACTTAACTCAAAGGTTTGGGTTTTTATTTTGCATCTTAGTGTAGAAAAACACGATTAAGATGGAGGATAGCGTTAGTCACAAGGATCATGCCAAGTAAAGGATTTTCATGAGACAAAGAAAATTCTATAAAGAAACTGATATTTGATTTAAATAATTTATTTTCACTTCTTATAATTTATAACTTTAATTTATCTTATGAATCAAGGATTATCTAATGTAGTAGTTACCATAAACTGCTGTTTCAATGATTCACTTCAAATATGAGTATATTTCATCTGGAATTTGAGGCTTGAGGCTTGAACTAAGTTTTTCAAGATCAAAAATGTTTTGTTTTGAAATTTTCTTCCTGGCAGTAAATATATATAATTAGCATAATCAATAGTACTTTTATCATGACGTTTAGTTTGTTTCTGAAGTTATAGAACTTCCTAAGGGGATATTTTGGCTCCAAGTAAGGACATGGAATTTATTGCAATATTCTTCCTGAGTTTGAAATTTTCTCATGTTAAAAATTACACATGGTCTAATGTGTTGACAGATAATGGTAAAAAAGGAAAGATTAATTCATAGACCCGGTAGCTCATAGTATGATGTAGAAAGCTTTGTGATAGTTACTGTTAGTCTTATGGTGATTGTGTAAAATTGCAAATTATTTGGAATTTTGTCACTAAATATTGTTGATTTTTAGAATTATAATGAAACTCACAGGTATAGATATGGACCCACATCATATAGATTTGATCCAAATTATATAGATACTGTTGATACAATGAAGCAAGTTTTTATGAATAAAGTAGTAAAGTAACAATTTGTCAAAAGGAAAAGTAAAATTTTAATATCTTTCATTTTTAAAAGAGTTAGTTGGTTTCTGATATGCTGTATCCAGGAATAACATATACTATCTTT